GGAGACAAGACCTTATAGAAGGACTTGGTTAAGAATTCACACACAACCCTTGCACTTGAAAAGGTGAAARACATCCACATATTAAATCATAATTACAAAACAGCAGGAAAAAAATCCAGATCCATGCAAAATAACTTCACCTACCTTAGGTACAAACACAAGGCAGAGAGTAATGGTGCTGCAGAATATTATAACTAAAGCAACTATGCAGAACTGCACATTGGGTTGGTCCCGAGTAAGGAATGAAACAGCAGCACCAATAATGCACATTATGCCCACGTTGTATACACTCATTCCGATGTACTTGCTGTCATTCAAAGCAGGAATGCTGACATTTCGTGTCTCCCAGGCGAGGAAACACCCAAATAACTGAAATGGTAAAAGGAGGAGAAAAGATGATAATTATAAGAGGAATTGGCTGTCATCCAGAAAAAGCACTAATTTAAAACAGGTGTGTTTTCCAACTTGACAAATATAGGTGTTATTACAATTCAGAGATATACACCTACCTTTTCCTCRATATCTAATTACCTATGTGATTTGTTTTGCTCACTAGGACAGATTCCTGCTGTAACAAGAAAAATGTGAAWCTTCAAATTAGTGCTGATTGGAACAAATTTCCCTAAATGCTATGGTTATCTTAATTTTAGACTTTTAATAATTTTTAGAGGCTGTCCTTCCTGTTTCTTTTCAAGGATTCCAGTAAAGATATAATGTGCATTGTTCTTTTAGCTATTTTTACCAGCTGTTCTCAATATACTCTTATCAATCCAGCCATTCATTACATGATTATCACCTACATTAATGAGCAGCAGTGCCAAGATGTGTCCCATGAGAGATAAATATACAATGTAGAAAGTGTCACCCGAGTAGTTCAGATTACAATTATAATGTCTTTTATTATAGTGGGAGTTGGTAATGGCCTTTCAATTGCAGTTGTCTAATGATTTCTGGCATAAAACATTCTTGTGGCAATTTTTTGTTTGCTCTTTTCCTTTGGTGTATTTTTAAGTTTTAGCCCTTTTGTTATTTGCAATATGCTTTTKCAATTCAGCAGGGGAAAGCCTTCAGTGGAAGGAAGCCATCTCCAACCCCTGAAATTTAATTAGATTTTTCTGCAACATGAACTGCTGCAAACCATTATTTTCTTCCTCTTGCATTCCTCAGAGAAGTTCTGGCACTGCAGTAAAACCCCAAATGAACTCAAGACGTTGTCAGTAGGTAACCCATCCTACAGTCCAAGCAAAGCCCCGTAGGAGTGTATGGTGCCTTGGAAGGAAGCATGACAGACAGCAGATGGTATTGGATGGAAGGGAAGGGCAGAGAGGAACTACCACTTAGGGGCAGGGCATGGTTTCTGTGTTTTCTAGCTTTTTTTCTGGTCACCATGCAGGGACAGACAAGAAGCAGAAAGAACAAAAAGGTGCTCTCCCAYCAGCCTCAGCAGCCTTCCTCCCAGACCATCACAATTGTCCACTGCCATGTCCTGGACATAATATTCCCTTTTATACAACTTCAATTCATGTGGCAATCCAGGAAACTGGAGGTCAGTGGTGATGCTGTTTGGGGGATTAATTGCAGTTGTTCAGTATAATTTACTTTCTGTTTTTCCTGATTTTTTTTTTCCCTACTGCAAATAACCTGGACTAGAAGAACAGTGTTCAGTTGCCAGACAAACAAAAGGGAATAGGGAACTGGCAGATGGATGYTTGCTCTACAAACTTGGGTTTCAGCTGTAGTAACACCTGGACACTAGTAACCACAAATTTCTTTGATTATTTGCTTAGTTTTCATCTCAAACAACAATGGCAACAAAGCCAACCACTCGTGACTCAGCTGCTTCGCACTCCCACAGGCACCAGCAGGCTGCAGCCTCCTTCCTACTCAGCCAGGCACTTCCAACCAGGACTGAACTGCCAGCCCTGCCCTCCCTRAGCTTGTCTGCTGGCTTATCTCATTCTCCTGCCCACAGCACATATGCCWCCCTGCCACACGCTCAAGAGCAGACCTGGCTGGGAGGTTTTGGCAGGTCAGGCATCCATTTTCATCCCTTGGAGTGTGGCAGGCTGCAGGGGCTGCCCAGTCCAGGCAAAGTGTGTGGAATCACCTGCTCACCCCCTTTCCAACGCTGCCATCCTGCTGCAATCCGTACCCAGACACATTGCCAGCAGCAGCAGCTGTAGCTGCCCTTGCAACCCTTACCTGAGCCTTTCCCAGCATCATTCCCACCCTATCCCTCTACGGGAGATGGTCCTGTCCAGGGCACTCCACGGCCTCAATGCTGCAGTCCTGCCTCTTCAGTGTAACCCATCTCCTTCAGTAGGGCTGGAGCCCACACCCTACTCCAGTCCATCACCTCTTCTCCTCACCTTCCCTAAGAATTCTAAGAAAAATTCCCTTAGGAATTCTAAGCAGCCTAAGAATTCCTGAAAAACCGTAGAGGTTGCTGCAGGAAGGGGATGGATGCTCTCAAGGGGTCAGCAGGGGATCTCATCCGTTCAGGGAGGGCGGCTGAGGTGAGTGTGCCCATTCTCCAGCTCTGGGCCAGAGCAGCAGCTCATCCTCCGCTGATAAACAAGGGAATATTCACATTTTCAGCTCATCCTCCACTGATAAACAAGGGAAAATTCACATTTTCAGCTCATCCTCCACTGATAAACAAGGGAAAATTCACATTTTCAGCTCATCCTCCGCTGATAAACAAGGGAATGCCTCCAACAAGGAACGATGCAGGCAGTACTCCTTTGCCATTGGGTCTGGCACGGGGCACAGGCAGAGCAGGAATGTACAAACTCCCTTACAGGCTCTGCAGAAGCAAATTGTTTACTGTGTTTACCTGAGTGCAYTGGGGGGGATGTGCGGTGGTGGTTCCTGTCTTCAGGGCACAAACCCATCACTGCCAGACACCTCACCCTCGCAGGGAGCGCCTGCTCTCCACTTTGGTGCTGCACATCTCAGTTCTGCAGCAAATTTACATTTTGACAGCCCCTGAACTGACAGACTGGTTTGTGCCAAGCTGTTTTGAAGGGCAGAAGGAATCCTTGCCTTTTTTTTTTTCTCCATCACATTTTTAAAGGGATGAGACCCCGATCAACCATGGAGAAGATTTCGATCTTCTCCTACCATGGTTACTTATTAATGAGTTTTTTAGGGTTGTAGGTCATCCCTCACTCTCCTCCACTTCCCCCAGTATGAACAGATTCCCTTCCAAAAGCATTATTCTGGGAATACAGCCAACATACTTACATGAGGCCAGCACTTATTACAAATAATGGGGATGAATTTATAGCTGAGGCGGTTATAAAATGATCTAAAATATCAATTATAATGGAAAAAAGATCGTTTGAAGAGAGTTGTGGAGGTCAGGGTTTGGCCCATTCTCATTTATAATTGAGAACAGCATGGCAAATGGTTAAATATCTTTCATAAGAAAGGAAGAKATATATTTATTTATACAATAACTAAAGAAAAGGGAAGTTTCAGCTAGTGCGTTTCCTCAGAATGAGGCACTATATATCTGAAAGCATTGTTTTTAATTTTTATTAGCATTTTGGGTAAAAATGCTTGCCTCAGGAAGAGATATCTCCTTTCCTAGAAGTCACAGCTCATCTTTGAGACTTAAACATGGATAAAAGCTGAGAGTTTTCTGCATCCTGCTGCCAGGGCAGTGGTGATTGCAGAGGTGCTCCTTGTTTGCCTGGTCCAGATGCCTGCAGGGCTCTGTGGGGTTGTAAGGTTTCTCCTCTGAGATAAAGCCTTCCTGAGGGAGCATGATGCTTTGCTTCCCCTCCATCTGCCCCTCTTATTTTCCCTCTTCCTGAGGCTCAGATAATATGCACACATGAAAGATTCAGTTTTATGACTGTAAAAATCCTGTATTTCTTTTGGTAAAATCCTGTAAAATGGCTAGGTTGAGGAATGGRATGCAGACATGGCTAACGAAAGGTTTGGATTTCTGTGATTCCTTGTCAACTTCTGAATATGAAACTTGGTAGCTGCAGTTAAAAACACAGACTCATTGTACMTAGTTCGGCTCCTCTTTGCTCCTGGTACCTAAACTTTAAACATTCAGCTTCCCCAGATACTAAAATTACATTTCAAATTATGCTTGGGGGGCACCTAATTTTTGAGACTGCTGTGGAATTTCAGGACTATTTGATATTTAAGGCTGCCTGCTGGGGATTTGCAAAGCAGCTGTCTCTTCTYCTATCTCCTAGAGGGCTCAAGCTGATAAAGGCATCTCAGGGCTTGGGCCCCACAGARAATACAGCAGCAGCCATCCTCATTCAAGACAACGATGCTGGTGATGACTATTGCAAAGCTTCCTGATTGGAGAATGCAGCACAATTCCAGATTTTGCCTGAGATGTGCCCTCTAACCCCAGAGCAGTTTGGCCTCAGAAGGAGCTGTCGGATTTTATGTAATGAGAGTGTGATTGTCTTAATTAATTGGGCACTTGCGTGGGATGTTAGCTCTGATCTGTGCTGAGAATTTTGATTAAAYAGTCTTTAGAGAAGGCCTGCAGGAACACACCTTGGGATGGAGGCAGGCAGCTCTTAGCAGTGCTCATGTGCTGGATTTGGAGAGGTGTAGGACACATCTGTCCCCACTGCCTTATCCCAGCTCACTTAGGCAGCTCCAGATTCAATTCCCATCCTGAGGCTTCTCAAAAGGAGTTTGAATAACTCAGGGCTACACATTCTCCTACAGGAAGCAGTTGTCTAAAATTTAAGGGATTTTAGTTCCTTTTGGATCTCAACCTATGACATTGAGAATGCAGCTGGGAAGGCTTCCTACATTGTTGGTCAYGAAATTAGAGCCTTCTTCAGTTTTGGTCTGCTAAATACACACATCTTTATGTAGAAAACAYCCCAAAATATGGTTTGGATTTCCTCAGAACATATGGGCGGCTGTACAGGCAGGATTGGTTTGTTTTAATATTTTATTTGAGGGTAGGCAGCTTCCATTTGACACTGACTTGGAATATTACCTTTGTAGCTGTTGTTGTGGCAGGTTTAGGCTGTGCTGTCATTACACCTAAAAAGGCTCTGAGAAAACCACTGCATAAATATGAGGAAAAGAGTGTCTGAAGACAACAGGATTATATCACTGTGATTAAAGACAGAATTCTGGTCACTAAGTGAAATCTCTGTTAAAATGATAGYGGCATAACAGGTCTGTGGAGAATACAATACTCTTGTTTACAGAGTTWRACAGGCAAATTTAACTTTGAGAAGTCTTGTACTGACCAAATTGTGATAGTTTGGATTATAGTAGAAGTGTTTGTAGCTGAAGTATTGRAGAGCATTTAACACTGTTTTTTTAAAACTCTATCAGCTAGTTAACTTTAAATCTTGTTCATGAGAGTC